TAACAACAAAACGGAGGTCGAAAAACTGAAAGGCTAATCTGTTTCAATCGTTCAAAACTGCGGGACTTCACGCCGACCGATCGTAGATTTCGCGGCCATGACATCTCGAAATCATACTTGAAGTAACAATCTCTTCGTGTGGAATTTCAACTATAAAGCTATTTGAATAGCGATCGAATACGGAAACATTATGACGAGAGGAGCCTCCTCAACGAGCAAATGCGGAGGTTTTGTTTTCTATTAATTTCGTCGTATTCGTTCAGGGCATTCAATTATCGAATCGATAACGCGATTAAAATTTGCTGCCACCATAACGCCGTAAATACTAATTATAATGTATTATTTTATTTAACGCTTATTTAATGCTCGCATCCAATAATCTCGATCCAGCGTTCCCATTTCGGCGGAGGTTTATAGAGCGTATAATGAACTCCCGCGCGACGGCCAGAGACGCGGAATGATCAAAAATTTACATATTCATTGTGGTTCGTCCGTTTCCCTAAAAACGTGTTGCGTTCATTTCATGATTAGCCTAATTAAAGTTTACTCGATGTACTGTTACACTCATCCAATTTAAAAATGAAACCCATTGGTTCTCGGAACAAAATCTTTAATTCTAATTTAAATAACTGTGGCTTATTGCGTTATTTGGTAATCATTTTGCTACTACGAGCTTATAAAAATGAAAAACTCAATTTCACAGTACCTCGACTATCATACCAACCTATATCGGCCAAGAATGCGTAAAAACTGTTTGCTCTTTAATTTTCAACGATTTGCATAATAAACGGTGTTTACTAGGTTTCGTCGAAAATAATCGAATCAATTTTCCCCGCGGGTGTATGCACGAGGAAAAAAAAACTTAACGTATCATTTGACGGGGGACGTCGTAACAATTTTTTTGTGCGCATCTCGTTATGGTTTCCCAGTCTTGGAATGGTTGCCGTGGACGCGCAAATTGAGTTTAAAGCGGTCGAAATTTTGCTTAAACATTAGCTGATGCGCGCGAACATTACACCACAATTTGCATCTCTCATTTTCGTTCGTTTTTTTTCTTTACGCGAATTCCTGACTTGATTGCGCGCGACGATAGTGTTTCTGTTCGCCGACACTTCCAGGAAGCGTTAAAGTTAGCGTAACTTCGCCGGGAACAAGGAAACACACAGGGTCGCAACGTGAACACACAGAAGGATAAAAACAAACAATTACGTCTAGTTTGCTACGAGTATCCATTTTTGAACGTATGGTCGGCAAGTGTCAGGACGTATTCGTCTCTGTTAATTTTTAGTTGCACCCCTAGTGTTAAGTGCCTGTGTGCGCTACAGTTCATCAAAGTGTGAAAAAGGGGGTGTGAGGCAATATGCGGAGTCGGACGATTCGAACACGGCTAATCTTTCGACGACAGAAAATTTTCCTCGATGATTAAGCGCTCGTCAAACACATGCTGTATTCATTGGCTCCATTTATGAGGAGCCACGTGGTTCAACCGGCGGCGTTTCCGTGAAACGCGCCAACCCCTCGGATGCGACGAGCTAATTTGTCGGTAGTGTAACTTTAGCCGACCCTCTAAAGCATTTTTTTTCTGGTACTTTTCGTTTTTTTTAAAGCTACGTTTTTATGCCCGCGTCGTGCCGGAACGCGAGCAATTTCCGCGTAACAGGCTTCGTAATCAGGGCTGGGGCACAAATCTCCAGGGCGACGCGTGTTTTCAACTATTCAGAGAAATGAACGTGGACAATGCATCGTCAGGAATCATCCTTACTCTCCGATCACAAGTAGACAAATTATGTGAGTATCGTGCAAAAATATTACACGCGATAATACGTCGTGCTTGCGAAACCTGTATGCATTATTTGTTTTCTGAATTCGGAATACAGTTGAAGGTATTTCGAGCGAATTTTTGCACGACTTTTAGCGAATGTAAATACAATTTATTTGTCGTATCAATATCACGTAGCACATTTTAAATATCACACCTGTTATTTGAAGTGAAGCGTCCAACGCATCGCATATTGCTGCCAAACGACGTTATTACATGGGGTGGTCGGATACGAAAACTTTATACGACGAAAGTTGTAGAGTAAGATGGAGTCATCATCAAATGGGAAGAATATTTGTATAATGTAAGTAAAGATACTTTTGAGGTAGCAGTTCTGCGATTTTGGACAGAAGTTTCTGACGTTGCGGACGCAACAGTAAAATAAAAAAGGGCATGTTCGTAGAAGAAAATTGAAAGAAGTAGCGTAAACCTGAGCAGAAATTCAGAAGACAGTCGCCTTAGTTGTTGCGAGCTCCTTCCAGCGTCGAGAAGACAAGTGAGGTCCGAGGACGAAAAAGATTAGCGAAGGTAGAAGAAGAAACGGAGAAGGAGGAGGTCGAGGAGGATGAGGAGGAGGAAGAAGAAGAAGAAGACGGGCGTGTGGCGTGCGTTCGTCGTACGGGACGTGTTATTAGCCGGCACCCTCTTTCACGTTGCCCAGTTCCTCCTCGAGCACCGCTCGTCTCGTCTCCTTTTTTCTCTGATTTCCTATGCGGGGGCTAGAAACGCGTTTAATTAACATAGCTGGCGTGGCTGCATCCCTCTTCTCTTGGGTGTCGAGCAGCCAGTCAGCTTTCACGGGCCATTGCACGCGCGATACACGCACTGCAAACTACCATTTCTTTCTCCCCCTCTACATCACTCCGGATGTCCACCGTGGGTGTGATTTAAGTGTTAACACGAAATTTCAAGATCGATGGCCAGATGAAAATTACGACGACGATGCTTCATGCAACGTCGTTGGGCCCACAGAGAGGTACGATCAAGTAGTTTGGCACGTTTCATATTTTTGCTAGCTCATCGTCGCGAACTATACCCCTCGTACAAATTCGCGAAGAATCGGATCATTTGTAAGACCAGGTTTTTTAAAAAGTAAATGTCTAACACGGTTGAAATATGTAATTCGCACTGTTTGGTCCGGATGACCAAGTTGAAGAGAAATATTTTTAATAAGGTCCTATTTTCTTGTTAACGTTTAAACCACACCGTGTATATGAGCACATTACTCGTCGCGTATCTCGAAGGTGCGCAAGCGCGCAGTGCTATGTGGCCTCCTATCCGCGGCGGATATAACGCACGCCTACCACGGAAATGCTCTTTTTGACAGATCGCCCGACTAATTTGGTCGTTGTCACCCGGTATGCCCGAGGATTGATGGCGACCACCTAGCCTACTCCACCGTGAATTCCGTGGAAATTCTTTCGCGAGTCGAGACGAACAAACGGAGAACCCTTAATTAAGAGTTCCAAATAGGAACAATAATAAAGTAGCAACGGTTGCCACCCTCGATTTCCTCGCCTCGACTCGTGACCACCAGAGCACGTGCTGGGCGAGGAACGTATCTATTTCAATCAACTTTGCAATAAATATCCACAGATATGCTTGCACGTGTACCAATCGAAGAATGGTAATTTTGTAGTCCCGAACAAGCTACCTATTCATGATCGTTCAACCTTTTGCTTTGGAGTCACCGTTGCGAACTTCAATTTTGGAACGAACTTTGATAATACGTGGGGTGGGGGATTAATTGAGTTTGAATAGCACGTATCTGTCCGTGAATTTCTATAGTATTTACGTACACGGTGCACGAAGTCAATACTTTTGGCCCTAAATTACTTATTCTCTTTGTACTGAAACTCGCGTAAATGAGTTTCAGTCAAGTACGAGAGTACCCCGTACATCTTTAAAACTTTAGTTATCTTGTGAACGAAGAGTAGATCGAAACATTCTACGGCATGTTTTCGATTTATTTTGCTCGCGAATGAACTACTTTGATACCCTATCCAGTTAAATGATAACGTTTACTTTGTATAGCCAGCATTAGAACTGATGTCGAAATATTAATCTGAAGTAGCTATGCATCATGTTTCGTCGATAAATAAAGTTGGAGGATTTTGTTCAAAAACTTTCCCTTTAGGAAGCTGCCACTCGACGAAGTTGTCCTAGAAGTCGTCGCCTTCTCCTAGCCCTCCTTTTCTACTGCATTCACGTTGAATCTGCCAAAAGTTATCGTTTTGTTACGTTTTAGAAGCACAATTAAACAAACGTGACGCCAACGCGAATGTGATGCCTTTCCCGCGCCGGTCTAGTGTCGCCATCTGGCGCTCTGCAGGCAAAACGACGTTGCGCTATGCTCGCCGTACCGATAACTATCGCGCGGGAAATTTGAACGAACATTTAAATATTCTAAGGGACGATTACGAACATCTTATACTACTTGCACCCCACGGTTTTACCCGTGGGGAATACTACTTATTTTATGTAAATCTAACTTTCGAATATTGAGATTTTCATCTAAAATTCTATTTTTATCAAAATGAATTATCAATTTATCTTCTTGCTAAATTTTATCGAAATCTGTTCAACGGAAAAGGTAACAAACAGACAGACAGAATTACTTTCGCACTTATAATATTAGTATGGATTACGTCGATAAGGCAAAATTGCATATGCAACGTGAACTTTATTTTCAGTTCAACAATACAACGTAGAGCAGTCTCATTAGTAAAATATCATTACAAAATATTTGTCGCGTATATAAAACGGACTCGTAAGCGTGAAAGTTAAATTGAAAGCTAATAATAAGCAACATTAATATCGAAATATTTCCAGTATAAAAACGACTAGAACGACGAAGTACGAATAAATTCCTGAGACAAATATCATTGGTACAGGCTCGAACTAGCATGGAACTCGAAAATTGCTTGAACATTCAGAACAGCGAATACAATACAATAATCGTTGTATGATTAATTTGGAACGGCTCCGTTATCACTTTGTGAACAATTCTGAATCTTGCGAATGACTTGTGAATCAGTCTTTAATAACAGTTTAAAGATAACTAGTCATTTAGATAAATAGATACTACTGTGTATGGTTACTGTTGGCCAAAAGGTGGTGAAGTACAAATGATGGATCACATAATGCTATTATACTTGCATGTGTGATCAAACTCTTGAAATTTATAATACTCGATGTATAATTTATTTGAAGGAATTTGAGTGGGAGGATTTCAATCCAGCCGCATGAATATTCGCGGACAATTTGTGCTCTTCTTGTACATCGGAATGCTGCAGCACGTTATGATACTCTCGAGTGATCTTCTCCTTCTCGCGAATTGCAAGATCTTGCCATTCTTTCTCTAAACTGTCCATCAACGTCTCTCTCAGTTGTTTAGCATCCTTGATCGCAGAGTTGTCGTCTTCATGCACCCACTTCTGCCACATGTCTTTTGCATCTTGACTGAAAACATTACAAACAATTGCAATGTTAGAAGTTACACCGATTCTTAGAAAAATGCACTTCTTTTTATTTCATTTCGTAGCGCCGAAACCAAATCGGTATAAGCGACAGTCAAGAACATTGCTCGTAGTGCCAAAGAAACTTGGACAAGTTGTCCACTTCCTGGTTACATTATTATTTTGAGCTACAAAAAGCCAAGCGCGATCCTGAGATTCGGTCATTTCAAATGTTACTCTTGAAAAAAACGTGTGTGCAGTTCAGGGGTGACATAATTAGCGTTCGCGAATCTCAAGAATGGTTTGCACAATTTATATCTGGCGTTTTTAACCTTGACGATCGTCCAAGAGCAGGTAGGCCATCTGAACTTGATAACGACCACACGAAGGGTGTAGTCGAAGTGGATCCGCGAGAATCGAGCAGAGTAATTGCAGGCAGACTACTAAACAGTCTATACTGTTATGTTAATTAATTTTCACTGTTTGGGGCAAGCTTCTAAGTACCGTGTCCATCTGCCTCGCAAATTGTCCGCGAAAAATCTTCTTTGTCGGACCAACGTCTGCAATTCATTGCTTACGCGACATCAGATCAAACCATTCCTTCATCGAATCGTTACGGGGGATGAAAAATGGGTTTTGTATGAAAACGTCGCAAAGAAAAGACAATGGCTCGGTTCGCATCAACCTCTGCTAACTACCCCCAAGAATGGTTTGGATCCCAAAAAAGTGTTATTGTGCGTTTGGTGGGATATGGTAGGAGTCATCCACTTCGAACTCTTAGACACGAATCAATCGATTACCGCTGATATTTACTGTCAGCAATTGCAACGTTTACGTGAAGCTCTAGTTACTAAGCGCTCTGGATTAGTAAACGGAAGAGGTGTTATCTTACAACAGGACAATGCTAGCTCGCATACTGCAAAAGTTACTAAAGAGACGCTGAAGGAATTTGCTTGGGAAATTCTTCCGCATCCCCCGTACAGTCCGGACTTGGCTCCTTCGGACTATCATCTATTTCAATCGCTTAAACCTTTTCTGCGAGGGAAAACATTCAATTCTAACGAAAGTATCAACGATGTACTGTCCAATTTCTTCGAATCCAAAAAGAAAAGGTTTTATCGGAAGGGCATCGAAACATTGCCAACTAGATGGGCAAAAGTTATCGACAACAATGGTGAATATATTATTGATTGAATCTGTACTTTTATAAAAATAGCAAATTTATATTTAAATTATACTTTCTTGGCAACCTAATATTAAGAACCTCCATTCTCTCCAATCCAACAATTAAAAAAAGACGTTCACCTTCGTATCTCCAATCAGAAATAAATCCGTTCATTAAACCCGGAGGCATCCATCGTCAAATATAAATTTGCACAAACACGTCGGGAGATCGAATTGCAGATTGCCATTCTATTCGCAATCTATCGAGGAACGAATGTAGAACGTATAGGATGACGAACGTGTTGGCACGCATTTGCGAAATGTACGATGCGTGTAGCGAGCAGCGTATACAATTGAGACGTGAATGACTCACGGTTTTAGGGTTGCGACATCGACGAAGTTTGACTAATTCGAGAAGCAGGAGGTGCCATTCGTCGTCCTAGACCCTTAACATCGCTCACGGTCACGTGTCGAGATTCCAACGAATGGGATCGTCGAACGAAGATTAAAACGAATCGTAGATCCGATCGATGATTGATATCTATGCGGCTCGATTAGGTCACGCGTAGCATTATTATATCCGGATTGAAAGTATTTTTGTATATCAGATCACGACGTCGAAACGATCGGACGTGACACGACGTGCCTTGGGAGAAAGAGTAAGTCTAACATCCGTTCATACCTTCTGTCATTGGTAGGCTATAATAAAGATTCTTCATTCTCGGGAAACGACCTGGAAGTTATACTGAACGAGACATTAGCGCCACCTTCGTAACGTCCATGTCTTTAGAGTTTGAGCCTCTCTTCTAAGGAAGAATGAAGTTAAATGCAAAACATACCTGTACAGGGTCGTGTCCGTGCAGACGTTCTCGCGTTGAGCGAGTTCCGCTTCCCTCTTCCCGATGTTGTACAGTCCCACCTTCTTCACGTCTTCGTCGAGCTCGAAGTCCTCGATATTGTAGAGCTGTTTCTCGCAGATCAGTTCCACTCTGTTTCTCATGTCCCTCAGTCTCAAAGCCTCGTCCCAACAGTGTTTATTGCACGCGTGCTGTTCCCTCTTCGCGAGGTCATCGATCTTGGTCTTCAGCTCGTTGTGGGTCAGGTACATAAACATTTGTTTCGAGAGGTTCTTGATGCCAGGGTCCATGCGTAGCCACGGCATGGTTTTCTCCACTTCAAACTGCCGCTGGTCCTTCTTCTTCGTATCTTTCGCGTTCTTAGTCTCCGTGGCGTTATATCTGTCCAACTTCTGTTGTTCCTGACGAGCCGAAATCTTCTCTTCCTCCTCGGCTTTACGAGCTTCGGAATTCTCGCGCGACCAAGCCACAGACGAATTCTCTAAGTGCTCGTCTCTTTCGTTTCTTTGGCCAACATTTTCTCTCCAAGGGATAACGATGTGACCTCCGGCTGTACCCTCGGATGGCATTCCGGCTGCTCTAACCTCTTGGTAGCTGTTGACCTGCTGAGCCCTCTTTTCGTTCTTATTGTCTCCATAAACAGGAGGATCCTCTGTTGGCGAAGGGTACCTACCCATCCCGGAATCTGGAGAAACAGAAGCTCTACTCGGTGGTCTGTCTACCTCGTGGTCAACGACATCCTCGGTTCTCACGTTTGTGTGCTCCAAACTCTGGCGAGCGTATCGAGCCGAGTACTTGGAGTTAGGCGTTACATGTTCGTCCATGTATTGGGACAATGGCGATCCCGACATTTCCAGTCGCGCATCTCGATCGTTTTGCTCCTTGGAGCTGTTGTCGTACACGCTCATTTTGTAGTTTCTACGATAAGAACTCTGCCCGGATCGATTGAATGTGTTCGGCGAGTCTCTACAGACGCGAGTGTATTGAAGATTGGTGTTTCTCAATGTGTTCCAACGGGGACTGTTAGAGTCCTTAGGGCTGGCGAAGTACGACTGGTATCTTCGACAGGTTTGAGGATAATAGAGACTCTGTTCGGCTTTTTTCTCTTTCAATTTCTGCCTGAGCTTTTCCAACGACGATTCTTCCGGCTTAGGTGTCAATCTCTTTCGTTCGTCTATCTCCCTTCTATACGACTCCTCTTCTTCCCTCAACAGGTTTCGCAATTTGTTTCTTCTCGTTAGAAGCCTTTCCGCTTTCTTAGCCTTTTCGAGTTCACCTTTCGGATCTAGGCTCTTGTAATTCCACGAATCGTAGTGTTTGGCGATCCTACAAGTTCGTTCGAAGTAGTCCGCGGTTTGCTGATAATAGTTGTGCTTCAGGAACGCCTCGTTGTGTTTCTGTGCAGCTAGCTGGTATTGCCTCTCTCGAAATCTGCTTACCCTTTAACAGCACAAGCCTCGCTGATGATCTCTAGGAAACATTTAGGGATCTAATAGAGCGAACATGATCAACAAAATTAGATAGATACCAAAAAGATACGCTATAGTTTATTTACTCTGCAAACGAACAATAGCGACGGCTTTTTATCCACGAAAATGGCGAAAGGCCTTTTACATGTAGTTTGGTTAGTCGGTGTTGTTATATCGAGGGATTACTGTGCTTTCATAAATTGCAACGCTTTCGAAAAGTACTCCGCACTCGTGTTCGATTGCCAGTTGAAATGGTCAAGTGCCAATAGGCAGCGAGAGATTTGGAGAATCGATCCGTTAGAACGACCCTGAAGATCTATCGACCTTCGCGTCGATCGACACTTGGTGCATCGTAAACAGAGACGTGGGATACGTCGTAGGATCAAGGGAAGAGGCGTTTCAACCGAGAGAGTCGCCGAGAGCATCCTAGAAGAAGAGGACCGTCTTCTATTTCGAGCTTGCGTCTCTCCGTGACGTCACGTCGACCGAAATATCGCGCGGTTAGGGAGGTGCAGTCGTGGCCCTGATGTGTGGTCCAGGTCTCAATCTTTCCCAGACTCTCAAAAATTCTCAACCACTACGCTCTTCGACATTTCCCGCAGATCCGTGGAAACCTTTCTCGCGGACCAGCCAAAGGTCTCAGCCCGATAGCTGGCGACTATTCCTCGAGTCCAACGGGATCAGTGAACCTCGAGAAGAAGGAGGATCCGGAAGATTTCCCCGAGTGCGAAACGTCTCGAGAAAAGTGGGTTGCGGTTCTCCCACGTAAAATCGATCCCCCACCTTTTGCGTCCCGTCATCCAGGAGTCCGTCAGTGGCGCATCGTGCACGTCTTACAGAGGGTCCTCGTAGTCTGGCACGGATCTCGTGATCCTCGAAACACAGTATTCCAAAGTGTCGGCCTGGGTGGATCGAAATCGAAAGTCGAACGCGAAAGGAGGAACCCTGTGACAAGAGTAAGGAAGAATGCCCGGTGCCGGTGGCCAACCACCGCAGAGGACCACCTTCAGGCCGCCATGGGTCAAGGATGGTCCCAACCCTCTGCCTATGCCTACCGCGCCATGGACCCTCAATTCCAGGAGAGACTCCAAATCCAAGTCTGACGAACCACCGGCCTTCACACAAGTCACCCTTAAAGTGAGTTCCTATATATTTTGACTACATTCTCTGCAATTAAACGAATCGAGAATACTTCTTAGCAATCGAGTGTAAATTCAGTCGAAAACCTGATCTATGTCGAATTGTCGGCCAAAGGTTGCTGGCCTTCTTCGAGAATAACAAGTATTTTCATCTTAGTTTATTTCCGTAGCTCCAAGTACGACAGTAATTATATTATACAAACTATCGTATTTCTAATTGCGAAGCTAAATGAAGATCGATCCAGAGAGAAATAATTTTCAATCCGCATAACACAATTATTATTTTATTTGTAGTTAGGTCAGAAACCTTGCTTACTACAGAATACATCTGTTTAATTGCAAGCCAATATGGTATGGTATTCTTTGTACGCAACGACAAAGCTTGTCTGATTCCACACACGCTCATACTACTAGAAACACGACCAACCGAAGAATGATCGCCGTCTTCTGCAGCCTTTTTCCATTCAGATATTAGGTTTCAAAGTCACCGGACTTGGCTATTATTAGCGCCGGGTGGGTGTCAAGTAGCAAGTTTGCGTTACAAACATTTCGACGATTTACAAGGGCGTTGCATCCGAAACGTTTATATCATCTCGCGGTTTCTCGAAAAACTGAAAAACACGGCAAGTCCTCGAGTTACGCGATAACGCGTCAGAGATGAACGAAAGTTTTATTCGAATGACAAAGGTCGAAAACGTTTCGGCAAACGTTCTGCTCGGAGAACCACGAATGACCTGGGTCTTCAATTTCTTTTTTCAATTTTTATTTCTTTAGAATTACTTTGACTGTTTATCCGATTCGTCGGGGTTCTGGTACTTTTGTTTATTTGTATACTTCGCCGCCCGCATACCGATCTCGAAACGCATACTTCCGATATTCTGGCGCCGAGCCAAGCATAATTAACAAAGGCGAACGGATCTATGTTACGAGGGAAAACACGAAAAACGTGATGCACGATATTTTGAAGACACGTGGCCACGCCGTGGACGTTAACGTCACAATATTGTTTACAACTGTCGCGTACAGTTAGATCATCGACGAGACCGATCGAGTTATACGTGATCAACAATCACCTCGGAATCAACGTATCGTGATACACGCGACAAATTCATGGTTGAAAGTTTTCCAACAAGCGCGAGATTCGGGAAAGCTCCAAAAATATCGATTTATTCATTTCCTTTGAAACGTCTGCTAATATATTGCGATGAAACTTCGTCGATCGCGAGAATACACATAAAAGGTTATACATTAAAATGATATAAAAGAAATATAGCCCCTACGGTTGTTAAAGTTCGGTGTGCAATGCACCGAAGAAGTTAAATCAATTTCCCTTTCTCGATATGAGAGATCAGCGAGAAGGCTAGCATCGCGGGTCCTCGCATATAAGCCTCTGGGTCACGATTATTTAAAGAACACGCGTTTCTATTTCAAATGTCTTGCCAGCTACGTCTTCCGCCAGTTTCTTAACGAGTTTATATCACGCTTTCGCGCGAACGTACCGGTAAGTTGAGTAGATTTTACAAATTTTACGCGTGAAATCCTTCTATTTTAACGTTCCATTGATCATCAGTCACTCGTGCAACGGTATCGCGATTTCGTTCGCACGATCTCTTAGCGATAGATTCAACGAATGAATGTTGTTACACGATTGAAAAAAATTCATGCAACCGGAATGGCGATCGAAGCTTGCAGCGTGGAAACGATCGAGAAGGAAGTGCAATTCGGATTATTTAAAGACGACCAAACGAACTTCGATACTTGCCAAGAGAATTCTCGAGACTTTCTTTCTTTAGGATAGAAGAAGAGCGGGTGGGGATGTACGCTCGTTTTTCTTTTCTATTTTTTAACGCAACTGCCTTTGACGATACACCAACTGGGTTCCATTCTTTTGTTGCAAATCAACGGGTCTTCCAAGCAGTCGTAACGAGCAGATCAGAGACACAACCTTTCAAAAGTAAATTTTCAATCGCGAACGATGAGGTGGTCGTGCTCGAAGAATTAAGTACGCTAACGACTAACAATTGACGTGCAAATGTTGCTGGTACAATGAACAGAATCTTTAAATTCTTCGACATTAACGGTTCGAGTAAGGGGATAAAATAGAACGTAGCTTCGTAAACTAACTTTTTTTTTAAAGAAATAAACAAATTATCGTCCGCTCCGTCGTGTATTCGATAGCAGTGTTTTGGGAAAATATAGTTGCTAGACTGTTCAGAGCAGTATCTTCTTTTAATTCATGATTATTATATAACAAACAAGATACAACTCTGAAAAATTCTGGAAACAACGATAAATGATACCGGAAAGAGTGACGTAAAGATTGTGTTAAAATAACAGCATGTGGAAGAGCGTAACAAAATAAAATAATCGGTGTACTTCCCTAATCGAAGGAATTCTCAATTTATAGAGCGTAGCGAAACCGGAAGTGAAGCAACCCCCGGCGGAAGTGCAGCCGCGGAAACAGAGTAAAATCACAATAATCCCGTCGCAGCCGAAAATTGAAAAGAATACAAGCAGTCAACCAACGAAAATTGAAAAGACTACAAGCAGCCAACCGGCGAAAATTGAAAAGAATACAAGCAGTCAACCAGCGAAAAGTGAGAAAAATACGAGTAGTCAACCAGCGAAAAGTGAGAAAAATACGAGCAGTCAGCTGACGAAAAGCGGGAAAAATACGAGTAGTCAACCGGTGCCGACGAAGATCCGCGAGAATGGACGACAAGAGCCAAATTCGAGGCCACAGCTCGAACGACAGGTTCGAATCGAGAGGTCTCGATCTCGAGGTGACACTATACCTCTCTCCAAGAGTGAGAGCACCACAGGTAACAGCATGAACCGCTCCGCTAGACCAGATCCACTCCTTTTATTTTGTTTCACACTTCCTCGCGTACTCAGGGATTATCCTGAAACGCAGAAATCAGTTGCAATAATACCATGTACGAAAAAATTAACGAATCCAAGGTATATTATTACACCTAAGGGAGCAGTCTGGTAGTTTGAGTCAAAACCTGCAGGTTCTCCATTATTTTTTCGGTCAATTGTAGTCCCAAGAACAGGTATTAATTTATTTAAAAATTATTTGACCCGTTAAGCGAGACTGCTCCCTTGATCCCCTCGTTAGAACGATCGTCGCTCGAACCCACCTATAGTGAACGCGTTCGTGACAACATACTTACCCCTACGATAGGGAATGCTTTTCTACCAAACACGCGACACAAAACAAAATCCCGGTACACTTTACCCACGTTAAAAATAAAATTCCTTTTATAAATAGGCGCACCGACGCTATCGAAAAGCTCTTCGAGGGCAGCGATCCCGCCACCGCCGCCTCCGAGACCACCTCCACCGCCTCCAGCCAGGACGATCCTGAAGGATCTTCCTCCTCTCAGCGAATCGCAACACGAGAAACTGGAGATGTTGAAGTCAAGGCCACGGAAACGTCCCGACTGGGCGAGCATGATGAAGGAGGTCGAGAGCGGAAGGACCTTAAGGCACGTTCAATGCAACGACAGGAGCGCACCTCTGATCGAGAGGGTGAACAAGGTCACAGCTGATCCAGCAGGTGATCGTCGATCAAACTTCGATCCTACCCAGATCCCCCTTGGACGATTCTCTTAGGAGGAACCGGTTTCACCGTTTTGGTCGATTAGTCGCTACCTAGACCCTTTGTGCTATTGCTCTCCCTTCAACCCTTGTGTGCAACCCCCCTTATCACCTGTGAATGTCGATCCAAAGAGCCGCGTATATCGACAAGTGTAATCAATTAAATTGTTAACGAACCTCGGTTCGATCAGCTTTTGTTCCCGGACTGTGATATGACTTGTTTGTAGTACATGTACTCTTTGTTATTGTTCTGACCCCATTCTCCTGCAAGCGAATTCCACTCCCTGTTTGTTGTATTACTGAATAATGTTATGTAATCACAAACAAGCCATTATTTATATCATGCGTCGACTCTTTTTTTTTTTTTTTTTAATCAACTTCAGAATCCGCAAACGCTACAAATGAATCTACACAAAATTCGTGTACATTTTTGTTGTGTGTTAATTTAGTAAATTCAATCGTAACATTTGCCGACTCTGAAGATGAGCTCTAAACCATAGAATCGAAACGTGAAGTTTTTAATAGCTTGCTCGAGACTTCATAATTACTATCCTTTAAACTGTACACATACAAGCTTGTCTATGAATAATATTATTGTCGTTGAATTAATTACTGTCTTCGTGTTCAGTGGGTTTTATCGACAACCCCCCCCCCCCCCATTTTCTCCATTCCAATCATCATAGAGGTGTAAATAAAATTGCACAAAGCGATTTAGGGTGAACGTGAAAGCTTACGTGAGATCAAGGATGATCCACTAAGGAGAATCTGATCTTCAATCGAGGAGATTCGTTCAAAAGTTGCCTTTCCGTATCGAGGTACCATACGTGTATCACTGATTGGGTCTTTTTGATTAGGGAAGGCACAGTTTGTGTTCGAATCCGAAAAGTCGAACATGCATAACCAATTGCTGAAGCAGATACAACAGGGTGTACCGCTGAAGAGGGTGCAGACCAACGATCGATCGAGACCGATGTTGGAGGGTCTGAGGAAGTTCCGGAGGCAAATGACGATAGAGGAGCAAATGCAGAAGGCTGATGAACCCACCGATGATTCCGTTTCGGACGACATGGACGACATTGATGCAGTAAGGGACGACTTGCAAAGCACCAAACAAATGCTTGCTCTGGAACTTAGAAATAAGGAAGCTTTGGAAAGGGAAAACAAGAGATTACAAGTAAAATATTCTTTTCGATCATTTCTAAGTTCGATGGAAGAAGATCCGATCTGTGTAATAATTTGTTGAAATGTCTTTTGCAGCAAAGGATCTTGAATCTAGAGGCCGAAGTCGACCGGGAGAAATCGAAAAAGAATTTGGAAGATCACGGTAAACACGACGAGAAACTCACGGAATCTTTGAAACAGACGGCTCTGCAAGCTCGAAAAGATGCAGAGAGGCTTGAAAAAGAATATATCACCGTGGCGGAGGAAAGGGACAAAATGAAGAATGAATTAGAAGAAATGAGAAGAATGTATGCCACTTTAGAAAGGCGTATGAAAGCTGGTACGAACAATTTGAATTTGTCACTAACGAATAATAGTAATTTTAACGTTTACTTGCTTACGGCGCAAGTGGTAACGTTTAAGTTTAAGCTAGCGATTATTATTTGCATTGCAGCTACTAATCTTTTAACATTGCGTTGAATGAATACATAAACAAATCTCTACTTCCATATATGTTCAATTATTCGTCAATAATGTTAAGTTGCTTACGCTTACGCTAATGTCGCTTTATTCTCCGCTTTTGGGATCAGAGCAAGAGCTTGAGGCTGAACCGGTAATAGAGCTAGCAGACGATAGCGACGAGGCGACTTGGTACTTGATTTCAGGAATGGCATTAGCCGGTTGTCCAAGCGCGAAAGATGTCGCGAAAATTGCTTCTCAAAAAAGCATAGATAAGAAAGAGCCGAGCGAAAGTGAGGAAGAAGAAGAAGAAGAAGAAGAAGATGAAACTACGGAAGATGAAGAAGAAGAAGAGAAAGATCCGAAGGCTGCAACAGAAAAACGATTACAGAGAGAGATTAAACTTTTGACCTCTAAAATTAGAAATTGCAGGTGAGTACTAACGCGAAGAGATTTGCAATGTAACATGTAAATATAATGCAACATAATATTTTGATTAAACAGCGATAAGGCAGCAAATGCTAAGAAAGAGCGACACGCATTGAAAGATCAAATTAAACAGCAACAAAAATTACTGAAAGAGGAGAAAAAGAAATTTAAACGTCTTCAAAAAGAAGTTGACAAAATGGCAAAACTAATGTCAGAAAATGATGATGAAGATGAAGAAGACGAGGAGGAAGAAGAAGATGAAGAAGAAACAGAATCCGAAGAGTCTGAATCAGAGGAATCAGAGGAGGACGAAGAATCAGAGACAGAAGACGAAGATAACTCGTTGGAAGGCCAAAGAGATGCATTACAGGTAAATGTTTAACATGGAATATAAAGATTTTATGTTTTAAACTGTTATGTTTTTGCAGAAAAAAGCTAAAAAGCACGAAGGACGTTTAGCTGCATTGAAGAAGGGTAACTACTTATTAAAAGCACAAGTCGATAGACTGAAAGATGATTTAGGAAAGCAACGAGAAGAAAGTCTCTCTCTACAAGAGGATCTTGACTCTGTCTTAGCAGAATTAGGTTAAGTTAATGTTAGGTTCGGTGAAATATTACTATGGACAATTGTATACATATACATATAAGTATTACATATAAAAATATAGAAAACTTTGTCTGGGAAAGCAGACGCACAGACTACTACACGCACACTCACCTAAATGCTTTTTGTAGAAAATCTTACACTCTGACAGAATTTTTTGTTCATTCGTCTGCAGCGTATAAATCTACAATTTTTTTAAATATCAATTGGTAAACGCGATAGTTTGTTTTTCTCTAGTAACTATGGTAAATATTGCGTAACGAACGCAAAGAGAAAACATTAAAACATGTGTATCGATCAAAACAAAAGACAATCGCCGACGTGCAAATTTTATATATTAGCTAACGTATCGGGCGTACTTTTGCAGATGTAACGAGTATATGAAACTATTGATATATCGCTTTTTTTGCTATCACGTTGTAAAATATTTTTTAATAAAGACGATCATTAGTTGACGACAAAGTTTTCTGATAGGTTACCACAAACACAAAAATTCGGCATAACACTCACATGCTTGTAACAGAAATACAATGGACGAGCAGGTTTTTCCAGAATTTACAAACTTTCTCAATTTCTCAACGATGATTCTTTTTTCCATTCGTAATACGCAGTACTATAAATACTTATTACGATTTTCGCCGGTACCCACCGTTAGCGTTGGTTGGCGTTGACCAAAAAAGGACATAGCGTCGGCACGCAACAAACTCCCTAGTTTTGTTTTCAATGCATTGGCGTCGCAAAGTAAATATTTCGTATAGTTGGCGAACGTGGATTTGTGCCCGTTGAGGAATTTACTTGCCTCCTTTTATAATTTATATCATTTCATTTTAATACACTTACGTATATATGCTGTTTCAGTATGCATAAAATATTGATTACGTGTATAGAAGTTACAAAACATCTTCATCCCTGGATCGATAATCTGTTTATATAATAAACAGCAAATTCTAATTTTATAATAGGTCATTAATTTAATAAAGATATTTTCATATAATACCTATAATAATATTATGGGAATTAATTTTGATATATGCAAGTAACTAATTATTTGCATATTTTATTTAAACGATATACATATATACACGTATTAAAATGAAGCAATACGTACTTAATAAATAATAGTTTGTTCATTGCATTGTTGGTTTATTATAAAGTTTAAATAATACTATTTAGTATTTCAACAACGTGATAATTAGAAGCAATTTGCGATGATGAAGGGGAAATTATTTAGAGACTTACTCCTCACTCGGCAGAAATCCGTATCGCTAGATGTACAAATTTCCTTTTTATAATTACATGATTATTAAACAACTCTTTTTACTATTATACAATTGTATACTAATTAATTATTATACAGTAGTACAATGACAAAAGAAAAACACCGAATCACAGACTAGTTTAAACGAACGGGTAGAGATGATGGTATTTTAAAAATTTTAAATTATATTTGAAAGTCAGAATATCACTATTGTTCTCTGTGGGTTACATATTCTATACAATGATGTCACAGTTTAGAACATTATTTGTATCTTACGTGATTCTAAAACATGCTTGAATTATAAAAAAAATGTTCTCGCGGTAAACAGTTCGTCGTCAATAAGTATAATGAAATCATTGCACTGCGAGCTAAGTTGAAAAAATATGCTTAGTTTTAGTGCGAATACTTCGTGTGCCTTTTAGGTGACACGTTTTTCAGAGAGGAGATTCGATAATCGACGCATGACACTTTGAATACTCAACGAATTTGTGAGACAACAGCTGCTTCAAAGTGCAGGTAATTAAACTTTTATTGCTCTCTATTATTATTATCACTCTCAATTTACGCACATAATATGCACATCAACAAACTAAAACTAAAAGGTAGATTTATAAAAAAAAAGAACCGTATATACATTTGTTTACATAATAACATGTGGCTTTAAGTTTAACGTAGTTTCTAGGTCAAAAATTAAAACATTCATGTAATGTACATGTTTTTTTTTAAACATAGTATTATTTACCTATCTAATCTTATGAAATGGTATAGTTGAATATACTTCATTGCGCGCTTTCGTTTCTATAATTAGAGTATGAGTTCAGATGTCAACAGGCTGCTTCAGTTTTGCGACTTTCGAGTCAGTGACCGCGTTTGAAATTTATTCAAACACACATACAAATAAATATACCTTTTTTCTTTTGTTTTCTATTAATATATCGGCGATTAATAACGTCGATATGCTAATCCGCCGAGTCCTCTTCTCAACACTACGGACTTCAACATTTATTCTTTTTACCCGCATTCGTGTTTCTGCACCCGTATAGAATTATAAAAAAAATACTGCACGTTCGGTTTCTTAGCAACCCGACAGTAAAAACTCTATACCGATGCACGTAACTCATTTCGATCTAGTAGAATACCGAATATTAAGCGAGTAATGAATTTGGTTACATGGTTACTATAACCCCACGTTTCTTTCTGCAACTCTGTTCATAACCTTAGCGTGTCGTAGAAAGGTTAAAAATTGCTATATTATGATGAATGAACCACGCGTACAAGTATCGTTTAGAATCTGCATTACTTATTTAATATCCTGTATTCATCAAAATATTTCAAGAATATGCACATAACTATCCAGGCACAAAGGAAAACAGCATAATAAAAGCAAAGAAAATTAAACATTCCTTGGTCATTTCAAATAATTTTACATGTACATTAACATGTAGTTACTGCCCAGATTGCACAGTGATATTGGTAAAACTGAACATTATGAAATAGAGATACTATACTAGTCAGGTCCATTTCCTTAGATTATGAAGATGCAATAGGGTGCTGATGCACTATTATGATAATAAATAATTGCTAGTCGATATTCGGCGTTGTCTAATCGTTCATCATTCGTCATGTTTCTGTAACGTGTCCGAATTATACTTGCCGAAAATCTTCGTAACAATCGGATGCATTGTTTCATGTAACCTTAACCTCTGTCTTAAACTTTTTTTCTTCCACCAACTTAACATCCGTTACATGTAAATTATGAATACTTTTCGCAGCAAACTTAATTACAGACTGTGTTGAAACTTGAGTCGTATGTCTGAGGTCCAAACGTTTAAGCACTTTACATCTCACCAAATGATCTAACGTTGTCTCTGTGAGTAGTCTACAATTCGCCAAATTCAGTGATGCTAGGTTTGTTACCGCCTGCGCTGATGGAGTTGCTAATTGAGCTACACCAGCGTCGGTAACCCTGCCGCAAGAAGAGAGATCTAATGTTTCAAGATAGGGTAAGTGTTGAACTATATATCTCAAAGCTATATCAGTGATATCACATCCAGCTAAAGACAAGTTCTTAAGATGTTTCAACCTTGAAGTCTTGTCGATTAAACCAGGTCTCGAATCTGTAGGTGGACTGAGGACTTCCCTTAAGCTTGAATCGTTCAATCCAGATACATGACTAAGATCTAAGGTAACTAGTGGTGGACAAGTGCAAGTTCTCAAAGCACAGACTCCAGCCCACGTACAACCTTGTACAGATAACGTTCTCAACTGCGGTAATCTACATAGTAGCCAGGCTAATTGTCTTTTAGTAACATTTGTCCAGTCAAGAGACAGATGCTCCGGTTGGCGGCGTATAATACCAGTTAAATGTAAAGCTGTCAGATGAGAATGAGACATATTCAATTTTCTCCACAAACTAGGATCTATGCTATATCTGGCCCATGTACGGCAAACCAAGGCACAATTCGCCAGGTCCTTTGCATTTAAAAATCTAAAAATAGCAAGTAATGCTGTTTTGTCGTACGCTAAAGATTGTCCATTAAAATCGGGCCCTGGTCTTTGAACAGGCGGAAGTGGAACAGGCCTGACCACCACATGGGGCCTCTTCAATGATTTACTACTTGAACCAGTTAATTGTACAGCTAATTGTGTACGTAAAGCTGTTCGCTGTTCACCCTCAGCCGGTTCTCTGTCATTCCATGCCTGGAATTTTTTGTATAGAAACCATGAATATTTCATATTCTTAGACCGTTTCAGATTCCATTTGGGGACTTACATCGCTGGGATCGGGTCTTGAACGTTTACTTGGTGTAGTAGCTCGTTCGGAATCTGTTGTTGGTGCCGACGAGGCTGCACTAGATACAGAAAGTTTTCGAGTACGAGCCTTAGGTTGACGTGGTCTGCAATCTAGATTTCGACCGCTTTCACAACATTGAGGACATTCCCAACTGTTCGGTAAATCGTCGCTAATGGTTATATTTTGGTGATCCAATCCTATACACTCGGGATGAACAATGTCAAAGCATATCGAACATTCTACTAAACTTGACGTAGCTGTCGGCGTTGGTTTGCCTGTGTCAAACATAAAGAATCGAAGTGCTTTTATTTATTACTTTTAATAACAAATTAATGATACGCTGATAGTGTAAATACCCATTAAAGGTGCAGGTGGTTGTCCCCAGCCGTCTAGTCGACAGACTTTACAAGCTGCCGTAACTGGGAGCATAGGCCTCAGACACTGTCTCATTAAGCACGTTTGTTTGGCACGACCACTTCCACCAAATTTCACCATATCTTGACAATACATACATTCCCCGCAATCAGTCCTTGTACATGCTTCACACTTTTTACATCTAGTACGCCGTCGCCGCGGGAATGCTCTTTCGGACTTTTCCTGCGAGTGATGCCTCTGTATCTTTGCAAAACTTTTCTTAGTTACTCTCAAGCGCTCCTGTTACGTAATGCAACAAGATACATGTGAAAATTGAAGAAGCAATCGACTTTTTCAATAAACATGTAAGCATTGCTTACCCTTTCTGCGATTGTCAACGGAGGTGGAGGTGGTAAAACAGGATTTCCTGTCACCGCGGCATCTGGATTATCGTGTCTATGTTGCTCTACTAGACATCGGACATCGTGAATTAAGGCAACAGGATCGCGGATCAGCTCAGGCACATTCTTCTTCGTAGAAGGCAGCAAATGTAAATACATAACTATTGCTTTTAAGCCATGTAATTCAAATGGTGTTAAATGCACGTGTTGGTGTTGCTGTGGAACTAAATGTTGACGCTGTGATTCAGTTATGTCCAAATGACTTCTGTCTAGGAGAACATGTACGTACCTCTCCAAGACATACCTATGGCAAACAAAAATCATGTATGATTTAAAGACTTTACAAATTTTTAAGTAGTTTTACAATCGTACCATAGCATTTCAGTAAAAAATGGGTATCTGAATTTTTGTGGAACTTTTGTATGTTCTTCTACTTGCGCAACTTTCAATTGTTTTTCAATACCAAAACTGTGTAAAAAATTTCCACCAAAAACTAACGAATCTTGAGGTGTATAAACAGCATGAATCCAACCAGTTGGGATAAACAATGTCATGCCAGCTGTTAAACTTATCCTGCCGCATCTGTCCACCATGTCTCCAAAGAATACATCTGACTGTTTGCCACTCAATACCCATTCTTGGTAAAGAGCTAAGTTTTTCTCTGTAGGAGGAATGAGCCAGAATATTTTTCCACCTCTTAAGATATGATACCACACACTGGTTCCTCCAAAGTCAACATGAAAGTCTGTGTAACAACCTTTCACAGACATCAAGCAGTACTTTTGTACTTTTGGATACATCATATCTTCCAAAAGATTCGTAGATTCCACTTGTGCTTCTTTTAGATGTCTTGGCCACACAACATCTACCCAATCAACTTGTCGTACTAACGAAGGTGATTGTACATAATTTTCTAATTTGGTATGACTGAATTCTAAAGAAATCACATTTAATAACCTTTCCTTATTAGGATCTTCATAATACTTTTGCCACTCTTTCATTGTCATATCTTCATTTTTTTGCGTGTTCACATCCATTACATCTAATACTCTTTTGGAACCTAATAGATATATACAATACATTAAATTGAATATATGAATTCACAATAATATTATTGTAAATTATTCTCAAAACGTACCGACACATGTCCTCACATCATTGACAGTAAAATTAGAACTAGGAACCCGTAATCCTAGTCCAGATTTATCCTTGAATAGTAATGGTATACTAAGACCGTGTTTCTGCAGGTACGCTAGATTTAATTCAGAACCAATCATTTCACGGAATAGTCCAGTGAAATTGCTCAAGTTGTATCTTTCACATTCGATCTTTTCATCGAGTTGAAAAGTCCTGCGACCCTCGATTTCCTCGTCGCCTATGGCCCAATCATCTGTATATAACTTTCTTGTTCTTTCCCGCTATAATGAAATTTCAGATAAATATAATATATTTCTTACAATTTCTCAAAAACATCATGTAAAACGATCAAGGGTTATGTTAAATTGCAAAAGTTATGTTTGGTTTGTTTACCAATTGACGCCTTTTAGGCAGAGAGGTAGAGTCATCGGCCATTGCGGACACGCTGTCAGAAACGTATCACCGAAAACTCATCGAATATTCAAAGTATGTTATTTTACGCAGATCAGAATAGTTCCTTTAATATTATACTAACGAAATCTCGTTTATTATTTACATGTCACACGCGGTAGCCTAATGTTAACATCAAACTTTTCTTTGATTTTACTTTCCCAGCAAAACGACATCGCCATTTTGCTGCCGGCCAATGCTACCAATAAGTACCGTAAAAACTTGAACCTACTTGATCCATCTTGAATGGTATCGCATTGCACACATGCATGTTCATTTAATTTTCAATTTTGATTTTGTGCATCATCGTAATGTAAAATTGTCTATATTCTGAAGTTGCTATAAATATACTATTTTTCATGACATTATCGAAAATTAATAGTAATAACCTAGAGAATTTGTGTCATTTCAAATGACTATTGATGGATGCATCCAGAAACGTCACCGCTCACTGAGCTGGTCAGTGAGCGGGTTTTAGTATCTGTGGCGCCATTGGTGGGAAAACGTCCAAGTTTGTAGTTAAAAAAATAGTTCCCACCATTGTTGTTAGATGGCGCCACTAACTAAAGAGTCAATAATTATTGCTGCATTAAATAACCATTCATAAAAATGATAAATTTGACATATTAAGTGATACATTATAATGTTATAAACAAAGAATCACATTTAGTAATAAATTTATGAAAAATAAAGAATAATTGACTAAAGATATCGGTGACGCCATCTTACAGAAACGATGGGAACTATTTTCACTACAAACTTGGGCGTTTTCCCACCGATGGCGCCACTACGAATAAAACCCGCTCACTGAGCGGCTTAGTGAGCGATGACGTTACCGTATACAGCATACAGCCGGTGTGTCCTACATTACAAATATTCCGTTCTAGTATTTTATACTGCGTGAGTACTTTTTGATAATTCGGAGTTAACGTCGAATGTTGACATATTTATTTGGGTTATGGTGTGTTTTGACGTTTTATTTGTTTATGTATACCCGAAATCGTATACACTGATATTTTAAAAACTTTCTTATATCCATAAGTACGAAAGTATTCGTAAAAGTAAAAAGTTAACCATGATGAGCCTTCGTGACAGGCAAATAAGTGCCTTAAAACAGATGTTAAATTTGAATCAACCCGAGCAAAAATTGGAGGAAGCAATACCGACATGGAAGGTTTTAATTTACGATCGACTTGGTCAAGACATCATCTCACCACTGATTTCTGTAAAGGAACTTAGGGAGCTTGGTATCACACTCCATATGCAATTGCATTCCGACAGGGATTCCATTCCTGAAGTACCAGCTATTTACTTTTGTGCTCCCACTGATGAAAATCTTGGTAGGATTGGTCAAGATTTACAGAATGGTTTGTATGATATATATCATTTGAACTTTATATCACCGATATCTAGACAAAAAATGGAAGACCTAGCAGCTGCTGCATTACTCGGAGGAGTTGTATCAAATATCCATAAGGTATTTGATCAATATTTAAATTTTATATCATTAGAGGATGATCTTTTCATTCTAAGACATCAAAATAGTGATGTCATATCGTATCATGCGATTAATCGTGGAGAAGTGAAAGACACTGAAATGGAGTCAGTAATGGAAATTATAGTTGATTGTCTCTTCTCTGTGTTTGTCACATTGGGAACTGTTCCAATTATAAGGTGTTCACGAGGAAATGCTGCAGAAATGGTTGCTAAAATGATAGATAAAAAATTAAGAGAAAACGTTTGGGATACTAGAAATAATCTATTCGAAAGTGAAACAACTGGTCATTACAGTTTCCAAAGACCTCTTCTTATAATATTAGATCGTAATGTAGATATGACTACTCCGTTACATCATACATGGACATATCAAGCGCTGGCACACGATGTATTGGAAATGGCATTAAACAGGCTTGTTGTCGAGGAAAATGTAGGAAGATCCCCAGCGGGTGGAACACGTTCAAAAACCAGAGCCTATGAATTAGATAATAAAGACCGTTTTTGGTGTCAACATAAAGGTAGCCCATTCCCTAGAGTAGCTGAAGCTATACAGGAAGAATTGGAGCAATACCGCACGTTCGAGGAAGATGTTAAGAAACTTAAATCTTCTATGGGGATCGACAACGAGAGCGACGTAGCGCTATCGATGGTCTCTAATAATACAGCACGTTTAACAAACGCTGTAAACTCTCTACCACAGCTCCTCGAAATGAAACGATTAATAGACATGCATACATCAATTGCAACTGGTATTTTAAATTTTATAAAATCTCGAAGACTCGATACATTTTTCGAGCTAGAACAAAAAATCATGAGCAAACAAACATTGGATAGAAGCGTATTCGAAACGATCAGTGATCCCGATTGCGGTACTCCCGAGGATAAATTACGTCTTGCTATTATATATTATATTTGTACAAATATGTCGGACGCGGACTATAACAAGCTCGAAGCAGCATTGTCTGCCGCTGGATGCGACTTAAATCCTTTGATTTACATAAAAAGGTTGAGGAGCTATACTAGAATAGCCGAAATTCAAAATAGTTACGAAGGTGGTGGAACTAAAACAGTTAGTATGTTTTCGAAGCTTATGAATCAGGGATCATCTTTCGTGATGGAGGGAGTCAAGAATTTAGTCGTTAAAAAACATAATTTACTCGTTACGAAAATAGTGGACGAATTAATGGAATCCAGGCAATCATCCCAGACCGATGATTATTGTTACCTGGATCCGAAACAACTGAAACATACCGATCAAATGCCAAAGAATCGACCGACATTCCAAGATGTAATTGTTTTTATCGTTGGTGGCGGAAATTACATAGAATATCAAAATCTGGTAGATTACGTGAAGCAGAAAAGTGGGACGGGGGTTAATAAACGAATCACGTATGGTTCAACAACATTTATTAATGCGAAACAATTGCTTAAGCAGCTTTCACTATTGGGACAGGAGGTTCATTCGTAATTTTTGCGGATTATGCCACTAACGTTCGAAAAAATGTATATTTATTGTCTCCTTTCTTATGACCTACGCTGATATTTCCTATTTGTTGTTAATGCCTTCTTGTAAAAATGTAAAATAAATAAAATGCGATTAATTATTTTAGATACAATTTCTCTAGGTATATTTACCTGTCACCTGCGATTGTCGTACTTGAATTTGAATAAACTCTCTATCGTATCGTACATGTCTGGGGACTTTTTAATTGTTAGAAGACAAACCTGCACTTTGAATTGTTTGATCAATGCGTCGTACATAGTATCGTTTCATGTTCTGTTAAAAATTTATCGCATACCGTCTGGACAAATTCATTTTCGGCAACGTCAAGTTCACGCGGATCTAAAATGGCGTCGATACCGGAAGGGACAAAGAATTTCTTACGACGAGCTGTTATCACCACCGATACGCAGAAAGGACTCACAGAGTACTTTTTGTCCAAGCGAGAGGACCGTAATGTTAAGTAATATCGCAAACCGAAGCAAACAAATTTTTATAATCGATGTATAGTGCGTTACAAGTGTAGGAAATGTTTTATGTATTCTTTTATTTCGAGTACGGTAACAAGTGGAAGTAGGAAACGTTTAACATTTTATTAGCAAGGTTGTTAGAGTACTTCATTTTTACGATACCTTTTTCTGTTACCCGAAAGAAGTTTCAACATTTTCGAAGCTATGTAACAATGCGAATTGTACGTTTTATATAATAGAAAGTATCCTGAATGGGACAAACCGAGAAGTTTCCCGGCTTCGGAAGTGGTGAGAGCACATTCTGAGTTAGCAAAAATCGAGGAGAAATTACGCGCGAAATGGACCGAACGAGAGAAAAAACGGAGATACATGGACGAGCAGTGGGACGAGATGAGGCGACAGGAATTAATCTTTCGCGAGTCGTTTATAAAATTTAATAAATTCGTCAGGGAGAATCAGGAGAAACGCGATCGCGCGGAGCTTAAAATTAAAGAAGAACGCGAACGCCAGAAATTACGACGGGAAGAAGTAAAACATTAAAATAGTGTTAATTAAAGTCACATAATCGAACACGACGTATTGTAATTTCACTTAGATAAAAAACGACGCGCTTTTCAGATCGATGATTTGACGACAAAGCTGAGTTACATGAAAGACGTTCGAGAGAAAATGAAGGAACACGTGGGGGAGTATAAAAAGTACCAAAATTATTTGGAGAAAGTGATCACCGATACAGGGGAATTTCAATCTATCAGTGAGATCTTTAATCGCTACGAAACCTTAATCGAGGCAAGATTGATATTGTCCGAGCATCAGGATAAGAACCTTCAAACGCTAGAGGAGACGGGAACAGAAATAGTAAACGCCTTTCTCGGTCTAAAATTCGTTAATTTCGCGTTCGTAATTACACTGTAAAAAAAAGGGACGAATCTTTGTTTCGTTACAGTATCAAATGACCGATTTAAAAACTCAAAAAATGATGGGACTGAATACTAAATTGGCAAAATTACAAGGAAGGCGTGACAGAGCAGAGGCGAAAGCTTTGAAATGGGAGACGATCGTGTCGAAGATAAAAGCAAACGCCGTAGAGAAAAATTTGAAACATACGCAAGTGAAAACGTGTTGCTGGAATCTGTACCAACAGATCTGCGAGAGAAAAGGCATTCCCGCCACCGTGAGCAAGGACGATTTCGAGCAACAGCTGGATCACATTAAACGTACTATTCTCGAACTGAAGCGGATCATCAAAGTCGCAAGAAAATGGGCGGCGAAGGGGAAAGCATGATAATTCTCGACTCCGTTTCAACTGTTTGTAAATAAATATATTTTATCGCAAAGAAGTAAAATGTATACTAATAAATACATTATTACTATTTAAAGGGAAACTGAAAGATAAATTAAAGTCGAATTACAATTAACATCTACGATGGTAGTATCTTTTCTTTTTTAATCAAATGTATCCATCGAACGGATATATAAGACGGATATTAAAATTCTGCGATAGTCCATGAAAATTCGTGTGAAATTAATCGATTATTGATATCTTTTTTGTATGATTTTTCTGGCTGCCGGTAAGTGACAGCCAGATATGTTATGCAGGAGTTCGGAGTAGTCTTCTTTGAGCCTTTGTCTTAGCTTCTTAGTGGCTTCGTCGCGTGTCAGTGGCTGCTCCAACCCTTCGGATACGATTTGTAATTCCTCCTTTTCGAAGCATCTATATGATTTAATCGAAGTTGAAGGGAAATGAAGGAAGGCAAGGAGAGCGTTTTTGGAACGGAGGACTTACAGTGCACAAGGTTGGGTAGGAGCGATGTATTTAATGGGGGGCACTTTCAATCTGGGCCGTTTGTCTTCGTCGAGGCGCAATTGTTGCGATTTGGTGGCCCTGTCTACCCAATACACTTTATGGAACATTTCCGTGATACGTTTCTCGATGATCCCCAGATACAACATGACGTTGCTCGTCGTTATCTGTTCATTGTCACCTAGTAACTCCAAAATCGGTGCATTGTCGCAACGTATCGCTTTGAACAGAGAGTCTATTCCTTTCAATAGCTTCTCAAGTATGTCGTTGCACTGGAATAAATATCAGGTGTGGATTGATTTAAAATGGAACAAACGATTTCTATCTGTAGTATTTACTTAATCGCGGAATTTGAAGTTGTAGGTTTTCAATGTTCGATAGGATTACTGAAACGTCACCTCTGTTAGACTTTCTTCAGCCGCATCGGCGAGAGCTGTCTGCTCTTCAAGTTCCGTCTTGAGCTTCTCCAATGTCTCGGTTTGTTGTAAACCGCGATGTTCATTCTCCACATGTGCCTCGTCTATAGCTGTCGTCAGCTGAACCATCCTCGTCTGCAAACTCTCCAGCTCGTCGTTTAATTCGTTCACGTAACTGAATAGAGCAAAGTTTTCTTCCTCTTGCTTAATGAAGTGTGCCACGAGCTTGTCGATGTCCTGTTCACCTAGATAACACAAGGATTCAGTATAAAGATTGATCTTTAGAACCTGGTGTTACTAAGAGGAGAAGAATGTAAATACCGATAAATTCTTTGATCATTTGAAGAATTTGCTTATAATTTGAAATCATGTTTTGTTTCTTTTCCATGTTAGCTTTCTTTTCAGCTGCACGTTTCGCGTTCAAATCAGCCATTTCGCGATGCTGTCCTTTTACACCGAGGAACTCTTGAAGCTTCATCTCGTTGTCCATCGTTCTTTGCAGCTCGCACATTTCTGAGACGTGCGCTCTCAGATCTCTTATGCCCCTTTAAACAAATCGAGTTTCTATTGTACATAATATAACTAAGATTTGTTATTATTTACATGCTTAAAACTATCAACTTTAAATCTTTCGTCCTTTGCATCTGATTCTGGAGCTCGTGTTCTCTATGATATCGACTAGAACTTTCCCCGACTCGAATACATTTTAAAAAGAGCAATAAATATTTTACTTTTTGTTATTTCTGTTACAAGATCGAATCTCGTTACCGGAAGAAAGGTGTGCGAATGGCTCGACAGTTGGACGAATGAAATATTGAATAATCGAGAAGCGAGATCACCGGATGTTATCATGCGCCATTGATTCCCAACCGTTGCTCTCCGTTCCGAGTTTCTAATCCAGCGAAGGATAATTCATTTTACGCGAAATACGAATAACTTTCTGGTCGTTAATGCAACTCTTAGAATTACGAGGCCAACGATCTGATCTGTTGCAACTTTCGCGATCTTTAGGTAAGAATCAAAGTTGTTTCCTCTCTACGGCGATACAGATAAAGGTGTACCTTTCGCGAAGTGCCTGAATCTTGTTTAACTCTTCGTCCCTTTGATTAAACGCTATGGTAGCTTGTTCTATCAGGTCGTTGATGATTTGTTTCCCAGTATTCAATTGTCCAATTAATTTGTTCCAAAACGCCGTAAATTGTGCCCTTTCTTTGAGCATCGCGTCGATCTCGTTCCGAAGCTTCTCGTTTTGGGCGATCACGAGGTTGAACCTCTTCGTCGCCACTTCCAACCGATTCTCCAACATCGTGACCGTTTTGTCACGTTGCGCAGAGATCTCCTTGAGTTGCGCGTCCGATCGAACTTTCATTTTTAAGCTGGTAACTTCTTTCGTGAGCTAAAGAAAATTAACACGGTGTTTTATTTGAACAGTTGCACGCGACATATGGGACGATTAGCGAACCTTGTTTATGTGATCGTCGAGTTCCGCTATTTCGCCTTTCTCTGCTTTAATCATGCTCTCGTAATTCGTTTCCAACGTTAAGAGACACTTCAACTTCTCCACCATTTCTTCGTCCTCTCGCGCAAACGTTTTCGAGTTCGCGGTTTTAATGCGAAGCACAAGCTCCGCCTTTTCATACTCGAAACGAGCGATCATGTTCAACTGATTGCGGAGCTGCAATCTCGCATCCTCCGCGCAAGCTGCTCGATCATTCTCCATTATCCTGTACTGCCTCTTCAACCTTGAGAGTTCGGCTTGCGCCATCGTCTCGAGCTCCTGCTCGTCTGGCGTGTGTTGCGGCTTCTGCGCCATTGTTACGCTCTACTTTTGACAACTGGAACTTGGAAAATGAACACGGACACTGTCAGACAAATGAGGTGATGTTTCGATGAAAAATTTGAAAAAGTCGAGATTATTTACAGCGATAACAAAAATAAAGTAAGAAAGAGCAATTGTAACACAAGAGACGTCGAAAGTTAAAAAGAACGAGCTTACTTTTTATCGAACTGTTACATGTTATTATCGGTCGCATACTACTTGTCGCGTAAGATTGTTTTTTGCGACTTCCTTCTAAGTTGATAGGTTATTACGACTCACTACTTATTAAACATTCGTAGGATAGTCGAATCTGCGAGATCAAAGGTTTTCGCGGAAGTTGCCAACGTTTTCGTTTGTGTCTCGTTCGCCTTCCACGTCGATGATCTCGGGGATCCACGGATGGAAAGGAAACACTCTCCAAACGTAATGCTCGATGACGTTCAACGGCGACATTTGAGAAAGACATCTGCCACCCTGTATAGCTCTGCCAGCTGTATGCGCGGCAGCGTTGTTCTTGTTGGTCCTTCCGGTTGCCAAGCACCCTCTCAGGGGTGTATAGTGACGGAAATCTCGATTTCGCTACGCGCTCTGATTTCTTCCAATCGGTGAAAACATTTAAAAAAAAAATTTAATTAATTCTACGCCATTGATTTCATACCCGGGGAGCAAACATCGCGAACAAACGGTATTGTCGTTTATGTAATCAGAGGTATTAGAAACGGATCGTTATCATACGTCAGCGAGATTTACTATCTTTCCCGATAAAACCAGTTGCCTGGTGAGCCACTAGATGGTGTAACTCGCTTAATGATAACTGATGTTATTGCGCGTATCAATTACATTGCCAAGTAGAGCACTCGATAGCGGGGGATACCTTTCGGTATTAATTACATAAGTTAACAATCAACGAATGGTGTCACGATCAATGTTCTCTTACAAACTATTAATATTTATTCGTATTCTCTCTTCGTGTAATTTATCGTTTCATGATTTATAAAGTACAGTGTGGGTAAGCGAATATTCTTCTTTCGCAAGAATCCTTTGTTTTATACATTCGTTCAGCTTCGCGACGGAATTGCAGTGAAATTGCCTGAGTCATTTCGCATGAAGCGCGTTTTCTAACTCTTTAGAAAGATCTACGTAGCTTAATGCAATATCGCACCTGTTGGATGTAAAATAATATATGGGGCGTTCGAGAGTTTTCCTATCGAACTATATTTTATGATTAATATATCTTCGTTAGAGTAATAATAATAATAATAATAATAATAATAATAATAATAATAATAATAATAATAATAAATTAATCTACTCTAGTCTCTCGTACTTTTATATCGTTTTTGTTTGTCAAACGGAGCCAAACGGGGCAGGATCGTGCATTAAACACGATCCATAGATTTCGTGAGATCGAGTCAGGTGGCGGTTAGACCAGGTGGGTCAAATGGTGGGGAAACGCGCGGTGGTGGGTACGGGCAAGGGAGAGGTTAGTATGCCTCCAGAGGGGAAGGTCGACAGGTCGATTGTCTCGTGCATCGGTACGTAGCCTCCCACGCCAAGTTTTCTCAATTTTCCCGCGTGTCCGTCTACGATTACGACTTGGAAAAAAAGATAGCGTTACGTATCGCACGATACCAGATAAATACGTGTCCTTCGACAAATGATCGAGTCAAAGGAACTTCTTTGGACGGTAATTAAATTCATTTAACGTTTTTTTTTTTTTTTCGCACGGCTGTATAAAGGTGTACGCGTATGGTAAACGCGTATCAGTATGCCAAGAATTGTGCGAAAGAGGCGAGGTTCGAGCGTTGACAAAATTGGGATAGCCGCACTCCATCGAATTCGGCAGCGCGAGTGAAGGTTTTTCGTTGCGGAACGAGCTCCGAGCAGAACCAATTACTTTCAGCCGGAGCCTTGGAGGTGGGAGAATCTCTACCTGGCCGAGGAGCACCAGCACACGATTCCGTAATATTTATTTTCCACTGGCGACCAGTGAGTCACTACCTGGCCGGCCACGGTACGGCGAGCTGGTCGCGTCGCGTGTCCGCGTCCCTTGTGTTCTCGCAAACAGTGTGTTCACGGCGACGCTTCGAACAAGTCGACGACTCTCGGAACAAAGGATCCACGATTCAAGTGCAATTCGAGGACCACGCTCCTCTTTGGTGCAAATGTGACAAGTGTAGCCGCGTTGCTTCGAGTTCAACGGATTCGGTGCGTCGATGTCACCTTTTGTTCACCCTCTGTGCGGCGCGGACATTACTCGCATAAATGTGTGTGGTGCACGTACGTTTTAAAATTTGTGCCAAAGCCATATCGCCGTTGACTTATAAATGACCCCGTTTGGTTTGTACTTAGCGACGATTTTCTAGGAGCATGAAAATTCACCGCTCGAGGGGTTAAAGGTAGCTGGAAACGATCGTAGCACCTGCCGTGTCGCGAAGGCTGCATCGATACCCGTAGAAACGGGTCGCAAACAACCAGCAAACGTCACCGTTTCCTGACGCGTTTTGTTCGTCGAGGGAATATACGATTGTGCGCGTACTTGAGCGATCGATGCAATTACGCTGCGTGGAAACGATCCCGAGGAAGTTAAACGGTTACGTTTGTACGGTATATATCGATAACCTGTAGTTTGGAGCGTGGTTACATTGTTGACTTTCTATCGGAGAAACAAGATTGCAGTTGCCGACTCGAGGATCGCGTGTAGAGAGGAAACGGAGCAGAACAACGGAATTAGTCCCGGTAACAATTTGCTGCGTTATCTGTGCGTGAACAAGAATCGATAACCGATCGACGACCAGTGCTCGTATATCGATCGACTCGCGTTTTTCTCGCGTAATTTTCCTGCGATTTCGACGCTGCTGCTCCGAGGTGCATCGATAGTACGCGCGTGCGTGCACTGCACGTTAATTCGTGTGTCAAGTACAATTTACGGGATCGTTTGTAAGCAACACTCTCGACGGAGGATTACGTTGGCAATGTGGGATCGCAGTTGATCGTTTCCGGTAGCGAGAGACTTTAACGATCGACGAAAAAACCTGTACGGACTCCCATGTCGCACGAGCTGGCTCCCGGAGTGAAAAAAAAAGTGAACTTCTCGGTTTTTTTATTCTCGCAACGCGAAACACAATTTATCGACGGTACACGAAGGTGAACGTCGGTGACTCACACGTATAGATTATCGATCTAACTTATTCCGTTACGTTTACGAAACAGCTTTTCCAATCGCTTTAAGACGCACACTTGAAATTACCTTCGATCCAAGCTGATAGCGTTATCGGCCGTTTTCAAGTAAAACGAAGAACGAGTTGTCGCGTGCGCGAGTTCGCACATCTCTGTCGCGTAATCGATACGTTTACGAGCGTACACGTCGATCGATTTCAGATTTACTTCGTGATAGAACAATTTCGAGTCGATCGTCGAGGGAATTGCGCGAGGACAGTCGTTGACCGTGTTTTGTCGTACAAATAAATATACGTGTATACGTAACACCTTGGTTAAACAGAATTTTGGACAGTTATACCAATAAACATATCGTATCATTCGGATTGCAGCATATTTATCTAGAAGACGAATTTGTTTATATCCGCACAACGCGCACGTGCTACTGTGTACCGTGCATCGAAACTGTTTACTTTGAAATATCATGTATAGGTGCGTATACGTGTGTCGTCAGCTCGTATCGAAAGGAGTAGCATCGATGAATCGCGATATGAATGACGTAATAGTGAATCAACGGTGGGAGAGCAGCTAGCGCCGTGTTGACTAGCGTATTGTTCACCTTACGAACGTTACAAATGGTTCTGACGTGTGACCGGTCGGCCACCTGGTCCCGCGTGTGTCGTTCTTGCAAACGACAGTAAAGGTCACGGCTTGGCCAAACACGCAACACATTCGACTGTGAATCGCGCGCGCGACAAGACGTGCGGGCCACGATGCTGCCGAAAAAGGAAGGACAACCGGAGCCTTACGCTCTGGAGGATATGATCACCGATCTTCAAGCGCGACGACACTCCCTGGACCAAGAGGACCTCGAGGATCCTGTGGAGCTTCTCAAGAAACGCGACAGGGATCTAGTGTTAGCCGCTGAACTCGGTAAAGCGCTCCTCGAGAGGAACCAGCAGTTGACCAAGCAGAGGGAGGCCCTCGTCGAGGAGTACGCGGCGAAATTAGAGGTGAGTAGTTTTAAATATTGATATAGACTCTGGGGTTAATTAGGAAATGTCGAGTTCCTTTCTGATCGTTTACTTAGGAAATGTCACAGGCGATACTCGAGTGCTTGTGTACGCGACTTATCGATAAATCAATAATACTGCGTTCAACGCTTGCTTCCGCCTTGGCGACACTTGTTTTTCGTTGTTTAGCATAGAGAACGAGATGCAGTAAATTCTTCGACGCGCTAATTTTGATCCGTCAATCAGCGCGGTATCACCAGAGATAAGTTAAACATCTGATAACATAGATAGGTCGAATGTAATTTGTTAAGGGAGGGGAGGATAAACATCTCTTCGTCCTCGCGATAACCGTCAGATATCTATAATAAAAACGAGTGCGGCATGTTTGAAAACGAGCTACTCGGTTAGCCTCCCAATAAAATCGGTAGTATGCGAAAGTAATATATGTATGGTAAACAGTCCATGGTAATGTAACGACAGCGATTCGCATTGCGCAAAGAGGAAGGTTTTATTAGATTAATCGTGGAGGCGTGGTTTGCGTATACTGTTCCCACGCGGAACGGTACTTCGTACTATTTCATTAGACTGAAAGCGTGCATTAAGGGGTCGCATTAGCCATATTAATAGCATCGAAGTCTTTTGACCGATCCATGAATAGCGTTCAGCCGCGTCTGTCACGCGGAACGTGTGAACCTGTGCGTTATCGAAAAAATTTACTCGAATAGTCTCAAGTAAGTTCAAAAGCTAAACGCACTCGTTACCGTCTGAAACGAGCGATTCGCGTTGCGTGTGTGCGGCTTCCTGTTGGAGTTTACGCGGTGTTCCCGGGGAGCGAATCGAAAACAAAAAATGAAAGTCGACGGCGGAAAAGCACGCACGCGCAGAAGGCATTTCTCCTACGGATTTCGCTGGAATCAGGACACGGGGCACGACTCTAAATTTCCAATGCAGTTTTTACGAGCGTTGACCACCGAATCGCGATCGGGACGGCGATAAATCTCAAAAAGTGGCGTAAAATCTCGATTCGACGAATTTTGAATTTAACAGGCGGAATTTACACTCTTTTGTTTGGAACAGAAAACATATCGTATAGTGCTTTGGAATAAATGTATAATTTGTTAGCATTGTTTTCCAAGCATTTAGTTTTACTACTGTTTTACGTACAATAGCGCGTCATAGCTGATAAAATTGTCAAGGTGTTTCTTTGTTCATGAATCGTATTATCACCCGCGTTTAAAACACTGTTACTTGAACATTTACATATGTACTCACCGATAATATTTTTCTCGTATCTGTTCAAGTTTGCATTTTTGCATAGACGCCATGAGAACGTCGATCGAAGCTCTACTCTCGTGAATAACTGAAGGGGGTTTGTTCCTCGAGAGAAGGAAAAACTAATGCTGGTCTTGCTTGTAGTTTTCTGAGACAATTGCTTCTGAACTTTCCAGCCATCGTGGCTTCATTTATCACACAACCCTCGTACAAAGAATTTCAACGTCTCCCAGTCCGCGTTCCCACGTGTGTACAGCATAGTATTCGCTAGGATCACTCGTAAAGGGTCGCTTTTCAAAGGAGTCCCCGCAGAAGTGGCATCTGGACTCCAGATTCTAGAGTGTTCTTACGGCCCGTTTATTGTACACGAGAGAGCTCGGCTCGAGATACGAATTTTTACGTACTCTGGCGAGCAGAATATCGTTCATGAAATTTGTAACTCCAAAGTCTGCCACCGTACCAAGGTGTCCTACAAACCAATTCTCCGAATCCAAGTAAACACCATTGTCACGCGAAACCATCGTAATCGGAAGACAAAGGATGGAACAGTGACGAGCATGCGACCGTCTCTTTGGTCAGGGGTCAGAAGTAAGGTGACAGGCAAAACGCGGAAAGAATGAAGAAGAAGCGGGCACGCGGGCAGGCGGAGCGTGGTGCCGGGTATTGTCTTTGACGTTACGTTGCCTAAGTGACTCGCTTCCACGCTTTCGTGGCTCCCTGTCCGTCGTCGCGGATACGAGAACCCGTTGCACGCACGTCTCCAGAAAGGAGAAGATCGTTCGAAACCGACAGCAATCCGGTTTCGGGGTACGCGTGACTGGAAACAATGATGTCGCGTGGTCCGAATCGAGCCGTTCGCTTTTACGCTTTCGCAGCGTTGATTGCACCTCCGCATCGATTCCACGCAGCTTCCACTCTCGCGTCACCTTCTTCATTTGATACGGAGGTAGATCCTTTGAAGTAGAAGACGTAGAAGACGTAAATCCTTTGAAGTAGAAGACGTAGAAGACGTAAATCCTTTGAAGTAGAAGACGTAGAAGACGTAAATCCTTTGAAGTAGAAGACGTAGAAGACGTAGATCCTCTGATACAGCGTTTTTTAGTCTCTCGTGGACCTCTTTCTATCGCTGTTAACTCTCGTGTAGTCGACAGGCTATCAACGTAGACGCTTTGGAATATTTGACGACTAAGGAAGAAAGATGTCTGTTATTATTTCATCGTCGCAATTAGACACTAAAACGTGGAATAGTAATTGTGTCACGAAAGAAAGGAAAGCACGCAGTAGTCGTCACGATCCTTCGGTCTCCACGGGCGGTTCTTTAACTGGTGCAACGGCGTGCATTCCGGAAACGAGCGTGTTTTCTTTCGAGCACACCTACGTGTTTGCCGCCCCGTTTCCGGATATAATTATTGCCTACGTCAGGAAGTGCCGCGAACGTACGTAGATTACCCAAACAATATATTCGATAAAGAGGCGCGATGTGTCATTTTTCAAACGTTCGATATTACGTAATTCGAGGTGTCGCGTTGGCTGAACGTCATCATTGTTATGCGAACGATTGATTGGCTCGATAAGTGTACGTGTTTGCGTTGTTGGTTTCCTTCGTTACGCGAATAAACCTATGAATTAACGATCTTATACTGCACTTTCGTTTGGGATAAATGAGAAAATGTTCGCTCGTCGATTCTCCATTTTTATATTCGTATTGTTCGAATTTGTCATTCGTTCCCCGACGCGTTAGCGAATTTCACTTTCACGATGGGCCCTCTCTAGTTCATAATCGATGCATGATTATGCACCGACTCGTGTGAACACGCGTAAGTACGAGGCGCGTGCACGAATTGCGAACAAGGTACGCGCAACCCAAGTATACACAGGCGTACTTTTTATTGTACGCTCAGTCGGAGTGCTACGTTTCCGGATGTTTTAATTAGACCCTGTACGCGTTACTTTTACGGATGGCGTATCCGGCGTTATTGTACGTGCATTGTATTATTAATACCGATTATATAAAGACGCTAGAAAGATCGGTCGTTTCCTTCATTCATCGAAAATTCTTTCTTCTTTGAAGTTCCAAACAGCTTGGTAACCACTTACCTAAGCAAATGTTAACGATACGTAACGAGTAGCATGGAATTGCGATGCATACTAAAAGAGGCAAGCTTGATTTCGTCAACCTTTCGACGCTTCGTCGACGTAGGGCGAAGGGGAAAGAAGTGGGTCAGAGTAGCAATGAAATCGAGCTGCTAAGTTTGCTTCTCGTTATTGTATAATTGGTCCGTCTGAAAGCGGCAACAGAATAATCACGGTACCGTGTCAGCAATAAAAAGCAGCACTTACACGGCAGGCACAGTCGAGATCTAGAAAGCAGAGATTCCATGTGCTCGTCATAGCCAGCGACCTGGGAATCTCGAGCGAGCGAATTACGCGATCCGTCTGTTCGCTCCTCTCGCGAGAGCTTGTTCCACCTATTAAAAATTAAGATCACCCATTAACCCTGCGATAATGCAGTCTATCCGCGATAATTGGACGCGAAACGTTTAAAGATCATCCCTGTACCCATTGGCGTACAGTTCGACGCATCTAGAGCGCTATAAATCGGATCTTCTAATCCTAACTTCTTCGCAAAATATTTATAGGACAAAATTGAAGATACTAATTGTATTAATTAAAAGTCTTGACTTTATCGCTAAAATGTCACGAATAACGTGACGAATTTCTAGCAGTATACACTGCAGTTTTCCCGCATCTGTTTAGTCTCTAATAAACTATAGGAAGGGTTCTCTCAGACCATATCCTAAACTTTCTCTTTCGTTATTCTGCAGTGACGGATATACATATGTATACATTGTACGTACTTGTACATTCTCAGTACATTTATTTCTGTAGTAGAATAAAATGACGAATTACTAGAATTACTGGTCTTTACTAGTTTTGTTAATTATGTGCCATGAATCTCGACAAACACCGGTGATTATCGACGTTCATGTAATCAGCAGTGAAATCGAATTCTTTTGTTGTGTCTCGGAGCAATTGGAGCGAAAATAAATTTAATAGATACTCCGAGTACTATAATTTGCATTTCATCGACAGTGGAACCTACCACGAGCACCCGGCGTACACTCTCGACTGCTTTCAAAGTTTTCTTTTTAATTAAGATGGCAATAATCCTTTTCGTTGCATTTGATGAATTTGTTAAAGATACATTTACACAGTCGTCTAGAACACCGTGAGAAAGTGTTAAAAAGTCACATCGGACTAGGAGTTTCTGCGCCTATGACGCGAAGCTTTCGTGGAGTCACTATTATACGCCTGTTCGTAGGAAAGTGCCTCGTGAGATCGCGGCTAGGCGATTATAAGTAGATTCAGCGTTCTACGCCTTTCCCTTGAAATATTTATTGCATTTCCTACGAGAGCTTGACTGGTTTTCCATTGTCGGCCGCGCCAGACGCGAAACAACTCGGTGCTTTTCACAATCGCATTTCTCAGGTAGATTAACGCGGCTGGATGGCTGCCTCTGTTTGGATTCCCGGGGTCTCACCGAAACGCCCTTCAGAAAACTCGCCTTAACAAAGCGACCGTTCCCTTAACCAAATGGGAAATACGTGAGGACGTTTCTACGACGGTGCATTTCATATCCATTTCAACGACTTGGAAAGATTGACTTTCGTTACGGTCACCGAGTAGCTGGCACCACGAAAGTGTACCAGAATTTGTTAAAAGCATGA